AACCAAATCGGTCTGATGGTCTGAAAATCAGACCGGGTTTTTATGTTTCATCTGATTTTTTGACGAGCCAAATATATTCGTCTGATCGTTCAGACAAGTTATAAGAATTCGTCTGAAACATCAGACTAGGTGTACACTTTCATCTGATTTATCAGACCGGCCGTTTTTTTCCGTCTGATACCGACAAATCCGCCCTTCTAGCAGCAGGGCCACTAGTCCACATGCCACTAGGCCACTGCCAGCCACCCTGTCCCATGTGCACCGCAGCACGCGCATTCAATTCTACCCCGAGCGCGGCAGCGAAACAGTCCAGCGCACATAAATTTTCAGCTTGCTGACGCTAGCTGCTGCCACGCCACTGTCTTGTTATGTGCACCGTCGCTGCCAGCTAGGTTCCAAGCAAGCAGCGCTGGGCAGCAATGTGCCAGCGCATTTCCCGATGAAACCGCAAGCCACCCTCGTCGTGCACGACGAGGGTTTCGTATTGAATCTGCAACCCCAAGCCGCTCTTCTTCGAGCCGCCATGGTGAACAATCAGCCCACAGAAGCCACCAATCTCAGACCACCACGTCTCAGAGAACCACTCCCTGCAGCCATGAGTGCTCTCTTTGGTGTCCTCGTCCTTCCCTCGTCCTAGTGCTTCATTCTTGGCTGGCTCTCCCACCTAGTTCTTGCTCATATCGTGTGTCTCATCTTATGGCCTTAGAGGAGGTTAATGCTAACCCTCCTAAAGATGCCGCACCATCGACGGTTACGGGGCTAGACCTGCTTCGGTCCCGACCCGCGCCACCTCCCCTTAGCACTGAGCCGCATCAGAGGCGTATGCCCGTCGAGCCTACTCTGCCTGTCAAACCCGCACCGCCTCCTTCCGCTACTCGACATACGACTAGTCGTCGAGAGGCTATTCCTAGTACGAGTAACAAGCATGCGTTGAGTTCTCCACCCTCGGCTCGCTCTCCCGCCGCTAGTCCGCCACCCGCAGCATGTGCACGATCGCGTAGCCCGTCTCCTGCCGCCCGCTCGCCCGTGCTTAGTCCTCCCCCTACAGTGGCTCCTCTGAGCCCACTGCCTCCGTTGGACACGGAGCCATGGATCATCTTTGGTGCTGAAGGCTCCGAGCTCAACTCTGCTACTAGGCCTTCCCGTCCGTCATCACCTACAAGGCAAACCGTTTCTGCCGTCCTTCCGCCACGCGTCTCTGGAGGGCCCGTCTTGCCCGCCCGCAAGTCTGACAAGGCGAAGTACATCCAGCGCAAACTCAGCTTCGGTCGGCATGCCTGTGCCTCGACTGCGGCTAATCCTATCCAGCTCGGCAGCAGCAGCGGCGATCCTGGTCCCAGCTCCCCGAATAATGACGACGACGGGCCATTCTTCTTGACGATGGAGGAGCTCCAACTCAAAGCGAGGGAGCAGTGGTTACGCCACTTTCCATGGTTGGTGATTTCCGAGACTAAGGAGGGTCGCCCCTGCATGAAGTGCAGCGTCTGCATGGCGTTTGGCGACGACCCCGACTATCAGTACGGCCGCAACGGTGAGGGTGGCATCGACATTCAGAAGCAAACAATGCGTAAGCATCATCACAGTCTGAAGCATGAGGCTGCCGTGGCAAAGAAACTGCAGCGCGACGGGAAGATGAAGAAGCAGAAGTCGATCGTCGACTTCGAGAACGGTGACAATGAGGCTCGACGACTGAAGCGGCTCATGGCCATCGTGCTTTTTGTTTGCAAGTCGGATGCACCTATCGTTCTGTTCGTTTCCCTTGTCCAGTTCATGGCAGAACAGGGGACACCTGATCTGCCCTTGAAGGAACGAGGAACCTACCAGAGCGAGTAAGTGTCCCACGTTTTTAAGGCGAAGCCCTCCTCATCCGAGTTCCTCATTTGCCGTTTATGATATTTGTTTGAACTTACTGTCTCTATTTGCGTTACTCCTTCCGTATGCCCTCCGGTGTTACCCGAATGGCAGGTATGGCTTCATCCAGCTCGTCGAGAACCTAGTGGCTTACCTGCGGGCGAAGCAGATGGTCCATATCAAGGCGAGCCCCTTTCTTGGGATCCAACTCGACGAAAGTACGGACCGGCGCCGAGGGAAGCACATGATCGTTTACCTTACCTTCCTGCGCGGTACGGAGGTCGCCACGGAGTTCTTCGCGCACCTCACGGTGGAGAAGTGCGATGCCGCCTCCCTGCAAGCCGTGCTTCTGACTCACCTGGAGTCATGTGGGGTCGACCTCAATAAGATCTGTGGGATCAGCACCGACGGCGCCAGCGTGATGACGGGAGCGCAGTTGGGCCTTGTCGCCCGTCTTCGCACTCGGATTCCGCATCTAGTATCATGGCATTGCATTGCTCATAGGTAGCCATTCGCACTCCACCCGTCTCTTATCATGCTGTTTCTCCGCGCTTTGTTAATCATCCCTCCGTGGCCATGCATGCAGGGAGGCCCTAGCCGCTAAGGACGCAGCAGCGGACTTTCCTGATCTAGGTGTGGTCGACAAGGTGGTCCGCTCCTTAGCGGATATCCTTGGCCGTTCGATCGTCGTCCACAACCGCTTCAAGCAGCTGCAGGAGGTGGTGACCGAGACCAACCTCGAGATGCAGGGGATCCATCAGATCCGCTGGCTTTCTCGGGGTGAAGCCATTCAGCGGCTGGTCGAGGTCTTCCCAGCTGCTATCCTCTTGCTGCGGGAGTATGATAGTCAGATGTATGCTGTTGTCACTAGCCTGAAGTTCCACTTCCTTCTGTACTTCCTGGCTGACATCCTCGCGGAGCTCAACGCGTTGAATCTGAAGTTCCAGCGTCGACAGGTACGTCCTTCTTAGCATGATTTCTGTTTACATGTCCGAGTACTTTATAATGTTTGCTTTCTCTTTGTTTGCACCCCTCCCCCAGGTCGACGTGACGCAAGTTCTTAGGATGGTGGACAACACCATCCTCATCCTGCGCAGCCGGTACGTCACCTACGACTCGCAGTTTGGCCCGACCTCGGGCGACTTCTTCGAGTTTCTGCAACTTCACGCTGGCGGCAAGGACGTTACTATCTCGGGCACAGATGCAAACGGCACTCCTCTCATCCACACGTACAAGCTTCATGAGCGACCGATCGAAGGCCAACAAAGCGGAGGGGACATGGAGTCACTCCAGAAGCTGGGAACTGCTGTAGTGTTGGCAATGATCGGCCATCTGCGCGGCCGATTCCACGACTTGTCCTCCCTCAACGGCACTCGCCTCTACAAGCAGAGTTTGTATCCTCGAACCGCGTTCAGGCGCGAGCGTAAGTTCATGGAGTGGCTGTTGTCTCTGCGCAACCTGTGGAAGCGCGACCCCACAGCCCCTGACACCCTGCCCGGTAAGGCCGCTCCCTTGTCATCGCGTCTATAAGTGGCTGCTCTCTCGCGTGTATAACCCTGCTCTCCATTGTTGCCCATTCCTGACTTCTGTTTACCCACCCTTCCGCCGACCCCTCCCCCGCCCTCAGGCGTCCATTGGGGCAAGGCCAGGAAGGAACTCACCAGCTTCACCACGATCATGTCAACGCACCATGACGACCTCGACTTCCACGCTGCCCTACAGCACATGCTCTCAAGCAACGACTGGAAGATGGCCTACCCCAACATTGTCCTTGTGTGGATTGCTGTCACCGTGCTGCCTCTGAGCACGGTGGAGTGCGAGCGCGGCTTCAGCCGACAGAATGTGATTAAGAGCTGGCTTCGCGGGAACCTCTGCGATGCGCGCCTGAGCGACCTGATGACCATCTCGCTGCTGGAGTACGAGATGGAGTGGGAGGAACTGGTGACCATGTGGCGCGGGGGAGTCAAGAAGCGGCGCCCTGCCAAAGAAGTTGTGATGGCACAGGGCTCGAGGCCGACGAAGAAGCCGAAGAGGTCCGATGCAGTAAAAGCGGCAAAGGCAGCAGCGAAGGCAGCAGCAGCAGCAGCTCGAGAGGCAGAGGCATTGGCTGCTGTGGAAGCAGCACGTGTGTTTGAGGAGGATGCTGCAGCTGGCCCTGTGTGGAGGAGGAAGGGCAAGGGGAAGATGATTGCCGTTGAATCTGACTCTGAGGAAGAGGAGGAGGCCCCTGTGGACAGCGACACCGACTCTGACTGAAGGCATCACCATGAGTACCAAGCAGCCTCAGCAGCAGTAGCAGGCAGCCTCAGCAGCAATAGCAGGCAGCCTCAGCAGCAACAGCAGCAGCAGTAGCGGCATTAGCAGGAGTAGCAGCAAAATAAGTGCTCTTAGGAGTAGTATTGGAAATATCTCAGCCCAACAAGTAGTTTGTGAGCTTAGTTGAGCTCACCTCACCTCTGCAATAGGCTGTTGTTGATTATTCCTGATGGTAGTAGCTGATGATTATTCATTGTATGGTAGGAGCTGCAGTAGTCTAACTTTTGACGTCGTGTTGTATGTTGGTAAGTTGGTAGTATTGATGAGCTGTGATAAAATCAGGATGCAAAACCGTCTGAATTCTCAGACACGTCCTTGCATTTCGTCTGAATCGTAAGACAGGCAAAATAAATCCGTCTGACGGTCAGACGAAGCTCTAAGAACCCGTCTGATTTTCAGACTGCCCTAAAAACTAGCAGGAGCCCTGGCGAGGAGCCAGCGCGGGTGCGAGGGGCGGGCGAGGGCGCTAGGGGCAGCGAGGGCGCGAGGGGCTAGCGAGGCGCGGTAGGCTAGGGCGCGGGGCGGAAGTGGGTGGGTGGACCTACCTACTCATGATACCATGTCAGCTAGAAAGAATGATGGAATACAAGTGGTACAAGGGGGGATATATGTGTTCTGGTTGTACCCTCTAACAACATACAACTATCTTGCATATAACTTCTATATAGCAACATATGTATAAGTTGACATCCTGATGGGGGCACCCTGAGCCAACAGCCCCTCAAAATCCAATCTGAAGCCCTGTTATAGACTACACAGGGTTGTGCCTTAGAGAGTACAACCCACTAGGTTATATTCCGTTGTATGCCATGGTTCTAGTCATTCGTTAACTTTGATAGAAACCGGCATATCACAAGGATGTAGACGAGCGGATGTAGACGAGCAGATGGAAACGAGCAGATGGAGACGAGCAGATGCAGGTACGGTACCCGTAGGTGCAAGGCAGCCGTCCTCTCCTGCGTACCCATGGCTTGCTTCCAACTCTGCACTGCTCTCCACACACACAAGCTCCTACCTTTCATTGTCGTTATTGTAAAAGTAATGCCTCAAATATACTGCCAGAGTTACCTACAATGGTCATCCCTTGGAAAGAAGCAACCGGATCCATAGACATCGGCATTGCCGCATGGGCCATCCATCCATCCACCCATACCTCCTACATGGGTATGGTAAAGTCAACTTGAGGCTGCTCTCCCTCCTCCTGGTCAACCTCCAAACAGGGAACCTCCAACCTACACACACAACCAACATCCTCATTGTAGAAACCACCCTTGGCAAGCAGCTGGATCCACAGACTGTTGGCTAAAACTGGTAATTCCTCCCTTCCTGCACTCCCCAGGCTTCAGCTTCAGCCTTTTCTCCTCCACCTCCTGCTACTCACACCCCCCATCCTCCCCCCTTTCACACACACCCCATCCTCGTTACAAGAATCATCCTCTAGAATCACCTCCATAAGCAGCTGGATCCACAGACGTGTCACGTGGGCATTCCTCCCCGCCTGCACGCCCCTAGCTTCACCTTGAGACTACTCTCCTCCACCTCCAATTCCAAATGCGGCACCTGCTCCTCACACCCCCTAACCACCCAATATCCTCATCATAAGAATCACTCTCTATAAGCAGCCGGGTCCATAGACATGGCCATGCCTCCCCTCCTGCACGCCCCAGCTTCACTTTAAGACTACTGTCCTCCACCTCCTCCTCCTCCAAATGCGGCACCTGCTCCTCACATGGCCCCATCCCCCTCCTTTGAAACCCGCCCTTCATCCTCGTTACAAAAATCACTCTCTATAAGCAGCCGGGTCCATAGACATGGCCATTCCCCCCCGCCTGCAAGCCCCCAGCTTCACCTTGAGACTGCTCCCCTCCACCTCCTCCTCCTCTAAATGCGGCACCTGCTCCTCACACGGCCCCTTGCGCCTGCACGCAGGCTGAGGCCCCTTCCCCGCCTTCTCCCCCCCAGGCAACCACGCCGGCCCGTAGATAAAGTCCCCTGAGGGGAAGACAGGGGGAGGCTGGCGGAAGGGGGGGCGCGGACGGGGAGGGGGAGCGGGGGAATCGGGAGAGGTGGCTTTAGAGGAAGAAGCGGCAGCGGCGGCTGCGGCTGCGGCTGCAGTTTCGGGCGTAATTTCGAGTTTTCCCGGGCCGCTAGAGGGTGGGAAGGGCCCAGGGGAAACCCGCCGGAAAATAGAGTCCAGCTTGACTCCCATGCGGGTTAAAGCGGAGTGTAGCCGGTTCTGAGGGCACAGCACCTCTGTTACAAGCGCGTAACCACCTCGCATGAAGATCCGGTACAGGTCCTTCCCAGCCTTATCTGTTTCTACCAGCCAGGTTCGGATGTCATAAGCTCGGAAAGGGAAGCAGTGCAGTGCCGAGGCTTCCGCCCCCTCCACGTCTATACTCGCGAAATCAACAGTGTGGATCGCATGCTCATCCAGGATCTCCTCCAACGGACGGCATCGGGCGTAGCCTCGTGGAACAGGAGCCGTTGGATTGAATTCGATCTCATTGTCGTCCGCAGAGGCGTCTGCCGCCCCCTCCCCCCCTGCTGCCGCCACTGTCTGATCCTCCTTATTAACCTTCCCGTACATCCCGCCTTGAAAGTCCATTCTAAGAGTCGCATTTCGGTCCAGTACGCAAGCCGGAACTACAGTGCACGTCCGATTATACTGCCCATACTGGTGGTAGTACTTAGGGTTTGGCTCCACGCACAGCCCTCGCCAGCCTAAACACCGGTCAAAGAAGTAAGTGTTACTAAAGTGCTCCGGGTGGCTGGACCCTATGTCCACATACACGCCTGATCCGTACGGAATGTGCCGGAAATAGTTGTGGAATAGTAGCCAGTCCTGGTGCGCCTGGGAGAAGGACCGTCCTAGCGACCCCGGCCCGCCTTCCGCTATCGCGATGCATCGGTCGACTATTTCCGGAGCGGCGAATTCGCGTATAGCGGGGATGAGGTGGGTCGTCGGGAAGTGGTACGACGGGAGGAGGCGCGGAGGGGAGAAGAGCAGGGGCCCGACGAGAAAGGTTCCGAGAAGGACTCCTAGGGCGACGCCGGCGGAGAGGAGGGTCGTGGGGTTGGCTTTAGCAGCGGCGAGTAGCTCCCCGCGGCGCCGCCAGAGTTTAAGAAGCGGCGCGACTATTAAGAGACGGAGCCGCGCGGGGAGGTCTGGTGGGGGGGAAGAGAGGGGTGGGGGAGAGATGGGGAGGTAGAGAAGGGGAGGTTTGGATCAAGGGGTGAGTGGGACGCGAGGGAGGAGGGTGGGGGGGAGGGGACGTGAGGGGTGGGAGGTTGAGGGAATAAGGAATGTCGGAAGAGGAAAAGGGGTTAAGGTCGGTATGGAACGGTAAGTTCAGAAAAGTGACAGCGCGGAGGAACGACTACGCGAGGATGGTCGCTCGGCACATAGCTTAAAATCGGAAGCCGCGGCGAATGGCATTTCCAGCGTAGAACCCACGCGACAGAATGGCACCACTACGACCTAGTGGCCAAAATCAACCCCCCTCCCCCGCCCCTTCAAATTCATTTGCGAAAATGGCCGTTTCTCAGCGTAGCGAAACAGAAATGGAAACCCAGGAGCGGCGATACAGCAGGGATCCGAGTGGACAGAGCAGCGAGCACGGACGACTGGAGGCTGACAGGGAATAGAGACTTGCCTGCTAGTGGCGACGCCATGGTTGTGAGAAGAAAACCTAACTGCAAAGAGGACCGGAATAAATTTGTTCATCAATTATGATTTGTTACAGTCCTGGACATCCTGCTATAGCTCAGTTGGTAGAGCGGAGGACTGTAGTCGAGCAATCCTTAGGTCACTGGTTCGAATCCGGTTGGCGGGACTCAAACAATGTTGTTTTGCAGATGGTGCTCCAACTTGCGTGATTGCAGGAGTTGATTTGCACACGACTACAGATTTTGCCTGGGCGTTTTGCTCGTCTAGTGAACTGGGACGAACACCAACGTAGATGGGAGCACAATTTTGCCTTGGCGTCTAGCTCTTCTGCTAAACCGTGACGAGCAATCGCGTAGACGGCAGCTTGTGCCGAATCACGCTACCGCCTCATGCCCGAAAAGCCCCTTCACCAGCAAATCGTGTCGACGTCGTTTCACCAACTTGTACCAAGGCTGTCCTGAGCCTCTGGCTCACAAGCAGTGTAGCAGGCGAGATGGGTACGCCTGTTGTAATGGATGGGGGTCGACGAGACGAAAACGCAGATTCTGAGATTTATTTGCCTTTTTATTTTACAATTCGTTTTTTTGCTACGACGTTGGCACATGGAGTTGCATTTTTGCCTCGCATCTCCGTGGGAGGCTTGGACCCTCGCCTGATGCTCCATAGTCCGCCAATCAATTGTCGTCTTCTGCTCGTCCCTCTCAGAGTAACCGAATAATTAGAATGAAGGCATACAAGAGAATATATGGTTAGGTGTTGTACTCTCTAAGAGCACAAATCTTTCTAGCCTATAACTGTTACATATACAAATATGTATAAGTTGACACCCCCTAGGCTAGACAAGGGGCAATGCCAAGCGAGAGACATGCAGCTCATGGCGGCACTACTAGTCCAGCCACTGGAACAAGAGCCCCAAGGCCAGTCAAAATAATATAAGGAGTAGTACACAATCAGGGTCCTAGCAAGTGAGGAGCTGCTGGAACTAGACCAAGCTCTACACAGTGCCGCTGATGATCTTTAGGCGCAAGCATCTTTGGGCGGACCTAACCTAGCTGATGCGATCTCAGAGTAATCGAATTACTAGAATGAAGGCACACAAGGGAATATATGGTTGGGTGTTGTACTCTCTAAGAGCACGAACCCTTCTAGTCTATAACTGCTACATATACAAATATGTATAAGTTGACAATCCCCCCTATGCAGCTCAGCCTACTCCACTGCTAGCCACTCCTTCGTTCGTAGCCTCTTTGCATAATATGTACTGTAGTCTCAGCCCAAACTCTTCTTTGTGAGTCTTTGCTAGCTCCCCCTTTCGCATCTCTATCAGATTCTCTGCTACAACGTGGCATCCCCTCCGTGCCTTTTGTAGGACAATGTAGTAGAGCAATCAGCAATGCAGCAATCCGACATGGAATTTTATGACTCGGTGTCGGAAGGGGAAGAAGGAGAGGAAGAAATGGGTAACGAGGAACCTGCTGCGGTGGAACGAGTCCACCTCTGGACGGAGGAGGAGGATTCCTCAGATGAGGAGGAAGAAGATGATGATGACGAAGGAGAGGCGGCAGAGGAGGAGGTGGCAGCGAGCACAGTACAGTCTACTCATCGATGCCTAATTTTGGACTGACGTACAGACAAGGATTAAGCACGCAGAGACCCCTTTTCAAAAGATGATACGGAGAGGCCAGGAGGTCGTTGCTGAAAAGGATCTGCAAATGACCATGCCAAGTATGATGAAAGCGTTTATGAACATAATGGGCTGCCTCGGCTGAGTAGAGCTATCGAGCAACCAAGCCGAAGGTGGACATCCACGAGACAAGGGAGTTCCTACCGTGAAGCCACGCGAGCTAAACCAGAAAACAGATCGAGTGAGCGTCCAAGCCTTGTGCACCCTCCCTTGTGTCCTAATGCAGGTGACGCTGATCTCGACGACCCACGTTTATCTGCATTGCTTGAGTTTGCGTAGCGTTTTCCCCCCTTGCAGTGAGGTTGAGATCAACATCAAGGATTTCTCAGCGACGTCTACACCCCCAAAGAGCAGAAGAAGCTGCACCATAACATTCTACCAAAGGATGCACGTATGGAGTGATGTCGTTCAATGACGGCGTCGTCGCAGTCTCTGTGGAGGGTGCTAGGGTGAAGGTTATGATTCGCACGGCGCACCAAATGCTGGATAGGGAGCGCAGTATTCGAAAGATCCGCTTTTCCAATATCTTCGTCCGTCATGTGAGAAGCAACACCTCGGTAAAGGGGCTAGGGGACGTTCTAGTCCTTGTTGTGGTCTCTCGCTGAACAAAGTCGAATGTGGACGGCAAGTTGAGCCACCTGTTTATGGCATGGTACCTCGACTAGCAGCAACGTGGTATGAGTTTTGTGTTTCAATGGATCCATTGGCTGTATGAGCTGATCCATATGCGCTACCCCATTGAGGAGGATAATGTTAGGATCATTCCACCTCTCAACCTCAGCTGTCCTCTGACTTGGATGCAGAGCCACCCATTCTTCACCTTGAAGGAAAATCACTAGCCTGAGATGCTATATGTGACGCACAACGGATAGGCTGATTGGGCGATTAAGAGTGCAGAGTTGTTGCTTAGCAAGTGACACGCATTTTTCGAAGCTGTGTCGCACAGATTCCGAGAAATGACCGTCGCTCCAATTATGTGATTGCCGCTCTTAAAGCCTGGCCGACAGGTTGCACATTGGCACTGTTGAGGTACGTGGGCTGGCAGAATGCGATTGGCTAACGAGATAGAAAGGGGGCAAAATGTTTTTGGGAAACTTTGCCTTCGTCCAGTTTGTCAATGGCCCAGGAGCCCCATGGGCTACAGAACCTGGCATAGGTGTCAGGTTTGAGCCCAATCGACTGGCAGGGGATTCACGTTGGCCTCTCTGCCATGTTGTAAGGGTGTACTCAAACTTACATTTCTTTGCAAACAACCCCCTCGTTCGTTTTGTTTGGGCAAGTTGGAAAATAAACCGAAGCCCAACTTCTCCTCTCGTCAATTTTGCACTTGCGCAACCATTAATGATTTTTCCGCTCGCTCGAAACCGCTCGAAATCCAAACTCGAAACGAGTAATTACATTTTGTGCAAACACGTTGTTCCTTCACCTCGATACTTGGCAGGGATGCAAACCTGCCCAGTTTGTCAAATCAGAGAGTTGAGGGGCTGGAATATCGTCAACCACTACTGCATGTTGATGGGTTACATGTCATCGAGATGCGGCACCTTGAGAAAAAGAGAGTTGCAACCTGCCAGTCGGTCAAGCTATAGTAAGTTTTCGTGGTTCTCGTCAAGCTGGTATTTGGAACGTTCCATTTCTTATGCCTTTTGACCAACCATCACCAGATGGAGGACTAGAACAAGGAATTCCGTACACATGTCATCCACATTGCAGGGAAGACTTTTCCAGATAACCTGAAACGGGTCGGATGAAGGGTTTTGGCTGAGGACATGGCAATGATGTGAATTCATCCATCACCAGGTGGAGGACTAGAACAAGGAATTACAGTGGCAGAAACAATTGTCCACATGTTTAGCATATCTTTACATTTTGACGAGCTGTACGCTACAAACATTAAGCCTTAATTCATGGTGGCCATACACGTAGAGAGCACCAGTCAGAGCACTCACTCGAATCTCCTAAAACCAGAGTAGTATATTTCATGGTCCTTCAAGATGACAACATTTAATAACAGCACATCCGGACAATTTTTACCGGGGACAGGCAGCAAACTAGTTACTAGCAAAACTAGTACCTAGTCAACCGACACTTGGCCTTGATCACCACCTACACCCTCCTAGGCATGTTATCTACGAGGTTAGTGCAAAACTTTATAGGGATCTTCTCGCACTCTTCCTGGACCCACGCTTTTGCATAAGGGGGTGAGCACTAGGAAAATCGTGAAGTATTTGAACGTATGCAAAAGTACTGTGCACGATTTCATGTTGAAAGTTATCTCTAAGACTAGCCATGCTGAGGTGTGGCCAAAGATGCCATTACTCGATTCGTCTCGTCTTATCATGGATCGTCTTCATCGTACCGTTGTAGGTAAACATTATGAGCAGAGTGGCGAAAAATTGCGTATCTGCCACGAAACTTAGGGTAACATAGCACGGTTGACAGTGCATCCTTGCACTATTGGAATCACGCTAGGATCCGTAGGTTTCTGAGCGGTGCAGCAGTCGAAGTAGTCATGACTGGTGGGGAAAAATATCTGGGTTCAGGTCTGGTGAGGAAGAGGGTCACTCCACCATAACATACTCGTGTTCTCTAAGCCATTCTAAGCCATGTGTCCCGCCTAGGCTTGGAATGGCTTGGAGAGCATGAGTTTATAGCACTGGAGTGACCCTCTTCCTCACCAGACCTGAACCCGGATATTTTTATCCACCAGTCACGACTACTTCGACTGCTGCACCGCTCAGAGACCTACGGATCCTAGCGTGATTCCAATAGTGCAAGGATGCACTGTCAACCGTGCTATGTTACCCTAAGTTTCGTGGCAGATACGCAATTTTTCGCCACTCTGCTCATAATGTTTACCTACAACGGTACGATGAAGACGATCCATGATAAGACAAGACAAATCGAGTAATGGCATCTTTGGCCACACCTCAGCATGGCTAGTCTTAGAGAGAACATTCAACATGAAATCGTGCACAGTACTCTTGCATACGTTCAAATACTTCGCGATTTTCCTAGTGCTCACCCCCTTATGCAAAAGCGTGGGTCCAGGAAGAGTACGAGAAGATCCCTGTAAAGGTTTGCACTAACCTCGTAGATAACATGCCTAGGAGGGTGTAGGTGGTGATCAAGGCCAAGTGTCGGTTGACTAGGTACTAGTTTTGCTAGTAACTAGTTTGCTGCCTGTCCTCAGTACAAATTGTCCGGATGTGCTGTTATTAAATGTTGTCGTCTTGAAGGACCATGAAATATACTACTCTGGTTTTAGGAGATTTTAGTGAGTGCTCTAACTGCTGCTCTCTACGTGTATGGCCACCATGAATTAAGG